CTGTTGACACATCCGTTGCGTTCTGCGCGCGTGACGGTGTCATCGTTGACGGCACTGCACGTGCCGGGCACCGATCCTTCAGCGGGTCACCACGTTTGAAAACGCGAGGGTGGCACCGCCACCGGCGTGTGGCCTCGGATGGGCAGCCGGGGCTCGCGTTCAGGGTCGTACAAAGATGTAAGGTACAAGAAGCAGAGCAGCTGCTTCGCTCGCAGTTCGGCTTCGCCGAACAAGGAGGAGAGGCGTGACACAATCGAGGGAAGGAAGAGAAACTCATGTGAGACAGAGAGTCACGCGGGACAGGAGAGCAAAGTGCCGGCTCCAGGTATACCCGCAAAAACGGGTATTTTGCCGATTTGGCTGATTTTGGGCCCCAACCAGCCTCAGACTCGGCTCAGAGCCCGGAAAATTTGATGGTTTCCTTGGGAATTTTTTTTCATGGAGCCCGAATGGAGCAGCCCACCCTGAGCAGGGCAACCAACCCGCTGATCGACGCGCTGGTACTGCAACATCTGCAGAAGCGTTTTCCGCAGTCGGCCGAGTGTCTGCAGCGCGAGCTCGCCAGCCGCGACGCCGCTGCGGCCGCGCCGCCGCCGACCAACCGGCACGCGCTGCTGATGCTCCTCGCTCCACCAGGCGACGAGACGCCGCTGTGGGCGACGGCGTACGCCGAGGTGCGCGACTGGGTGGACGGCGCGCTCGACACGGAGGGAGCGAGGTACAAGCCCGAGCTCTCGCGGCTGCTCTGGCCGCTCTTTGCGTACACGTACCTCGAGCTGCTGCGCGCGGGTGCGCGCGAGCAGGCGGGCGGCTTTTTCGCGAGCTTCCACGCGGACCACGCGCTGATGCGGCGCGACGAGCTGAACCAGCTGTCGCAGGTCTCGTCGGCCGAGCAGGTCGACGCGTCGGAGTTCGCGCGCCGCCTCCTCACCTCGCGGTACGAGGTGCGGCTCTCCGCCTTCTCGTGTAGTCGCGTGTAGTATAGTACAGTACAGTACAGCATGCCTCCTCGCGGTACGAGGTGCGGCTCTCCGCCTTCTCGTGTAGTCGCGTGTAGTATAGTACAGTACAGTACAGCATGCCTCCTCGCGGTACGAGGTGCGGCTCTCCGCCTTCTCGTGTAGTCGCGTGTAGTATAGTATAGTACAGTACAGCATGCCTCCTCACCTCGCGGTACGAGGTGCGGCTCTCCGCCTTCTCGCGAGCGCTGCTCCTCGGCTTCGTGGCGGAGCGGCGGCTGCAGCTGACGCTGCGGATGCTCAACGAGCGGATCAAGCTCGCGCTCCCGGAGACGCTCGCGCCGAGCGACGGCGGGGGCCCCGCCGCCGTCGCCTTGGAGGACGACGTGCATGGCGGCGCGCGGCTCTGGCGGCGGCCGCTCGGTGCCGGCCACCTCGCCCGACCCTTCTCGGAGCCTTGCCAGGCGCGCTGCTCTGGTCGCAGCTCG